TTTCTGATGACGGGTCTAGGCCTGAAACGTCAGCCTTTCTGCTCCTATGATGCTGCTTGGCCTGCTGTGTTCATCCGGCCCTGCACCTTGTTGTCTCTGTTTTACACAGAGAGGGGTTTGTATGTGGAATGAACTGCCAGAGGAAGTGGTAGATGTGGGACAATTACAACATGTAAAAGACGTTTGGATAAGTACATGAATAGGAAAGGTTTGGGTGGATATGGGCCAGGATCAGGCAGGTGGGACTAGGTGGGATTAGTTTCGGATTATATTTGCCATGGACTGGTTTGACGAAGGATCTGCTTCAGGGCCTATGACTCTATGAGTCTATCTGCACCAACAAATGAAAGAAGGTCATAGGGCGGGTCTGCAAACAATTGGGCAGGGCAGATACATTTCCAAAAAAAAAATGCGGTGTGTTTGCAATTGTCTTGAAATGTTTCTGTTCACACACTGCATTAGATTTGGGGTCCACCCAGCTGTGACCTAGCATTGTTTTAGTGATACAGTCTCCTGTTTGCTTCATAATTAGGTGGCCCAGGATCCGGCAAGGGAACTCAGTGTGAGAAGATTGTACATAAATATGGCTACACCCACCTATCCACTGGGGACCTGCTGAGGGCAGAGGTCAGTTCTGGCTCAGAGAGAGGGAAGAATTTCCACAAAATTATGGAAGGAGGAGGACTCGTGCCTCTGGTAAGTCCAATCACAGTGAGAATCCCTCAGTAAAAGTATGCATCTCCCCCAACCAGTGAAAACAACCCTATCTGCATTGGCTCTGAGAATACTCTTTTGTGATTCACACAATTTCTACATGCCAAAATGTTAACAATAACTGCTAAGCAGGTTGTCCCTTCACCTGAATGCATTTCTGTATGAACCTTCCTCTGTAAATGTTCTCTATGTTACCTTGGACATTTTGCCAAGCTGCAAATGCTTTGATCCAAAATCCCTGTGACCCGAAGTGCATTTTGTCTTCGTTTTTGTATCTGGTGTAGAAACTGTAGTGTCTGTTTTTTTTTCTGTCTGATTGGCCTCCAGCGAAATGCCTTGAATTCTTTTCCCAGAATCATACAGATCAGGAGACTATTCAGCCCATCATGCTACCCTGCTCATTTAAACAGCTGCCCAAGTTGCCACACCCAGCCTGTACCTTTCTCCTCTCCCAGTCTGTAATTTTTTTCCTTTCAAGTTTTTATCCAATTCTCTTGTGAAAATTGCTATTGAGTCTACTTCCATCAGCCAATCAGGCCACAACTTACTGCATGGAAAATACCCAAAAAGGGTTTGCCTCAGTTCCCTCCTGGTTTTTGTTAATTTTTAGCAATTATCCCAAATCTGTGTCCTTTTGTTACTGACCCTCCTGTCAAAGGAAGCAGCATTTCCCTGTTTATGGAAGGAGGAGGACTCGTGCCTCTGGTAAGTCCAATCACAGTGCCATAAGAATGCACATTGTTGTTGTTGCTGCCACATTCATGTTTTGTGAATAATTGTTCTGGACAGGCACTAAGTGACCTGTCAATGTCCTTGCTCCATATCCCAGCTTTGTCTATGTTTTCGCAACACAGGACTGTGTTCAAAATGCCTGTGATAGCTGGGCCACAACAGAACACGTTTCAGTATAATCACACAGAACTCCATCCTCAAAACTTCAAAACAAGGACTTTAAACAGTAACTAAAAAATGAGCTTCAGTCACCAATACCACACACTTTCAGGCTGTAAGTTATCCTGACTGTAGCTTCATTTCTACATGAACTTTGAGCTTTGGCACTATTAACCCCATGTATTTGGTCAGTTATACAGTCATAGAGATGTACAGCATGGAAACAGACCCTACGATCCTACTCATCCACACTGACCCGACATCCCAATCTGACCTAGTCCCATTTGCCAGCATTTGGCCCATATCTCTCTAAACCCTTCCCATTCATATACCCATCCAGATGCCTTTTAAATGTTGTAATTGTACCAGCCTCCACCACTTTCTCTGGCAGCTCATTCCATACACGCACCACCCTCTATGTGAAAAAGTTGCCCATTAGGTCCCATTTAAATCTTTCCCCTCTCACCTTAAACTTATGCCCTCTAGTTTTGGAATCTCCCACCTTGGGGAAAAGACCTTGGCTATCCACCCTATCCATGCCCCTCATGATTTTACAAACCTCTAAAGTCCCAGTCTATTTGTCTTCTCCCTATAACTCAAACCCTCCAGTCCCAACAACATTCTTGTAAATCATTTCTGCACCCTGTCAAATTTAACAACTCTGTATGAAAGGGCTACCAGAATTGTATGCAGGGTTCTAAAATTGGTCTCACCAATGTCCTGTACAGCCACAACATGACATCCCAACTCCTATACTCAACATACTAACCAAATGAAGGCACGGCCTCTTCACCACCGCATCTACCAGCGACTGCACTACCAAGGAACCTGCACCCCTAGGTCTCTTTGTTCGGCAACACTCCCCAGGGCCCCACCATTAATTGTTTAAGTCCTGCCCTGGTTTGCCTTACCAAAATGCAGCACCTCCCATTTATCTAAATCAAACCTCATCTCCTATCCCTTGGCCCATTGGCCCAATGATCAAGGTCCCATTGTACTCTGAAATGATCTTCTTCACTGTCCATTGCACCACCAATATTGGTGTAATCTGCAAACTTACTAACCATTCTTCCTATATTCACATCCAAATAATTTATGTAGATGGTGAAAAATCAGTGGACCCAGCGCTGATCTTTGTGGAACACCACTGGTCAGAGGTTTCCAGTCTGAGAAACAATCCTCCACCATCATCCTCTGCCTCCTACCTTCAAGCTAATTTTGTATTCAATTGACTAGCTCCCCTTGGATCCCATATGATCTAACCTTACTAACCAATCTAGCATGCAGAACCTTGTGGAACGTTTTGCTGAAGTCCATATAGACAATGCCCTGCCTCCATCGATCTTCTTTTCACCTCTTCAAAAAACTCAATCAAGTTAGTGAGACAATGTTTCCCACACACAAAGCCATACTGACAATTCGTAATCAGTCCTTGCCTTTCCAAATGCTTGTAAATCCTGTCTCTCAAAATCCCCAACAATTTACCCACCACTGACAAGAGGCTGCCTGGTACATAGATCCCCTGGCTTTTCATCTCATTTGCACAGATTGTGGTGTGAATAGTATGCATTTTTGTATTCCCTGTTACTACACATTGGACATCCTGTGTATCTCCTTTCTTCAGGAAACTATCCTGGAAATGCTGAAGGACGCTATGATTGCGAAAGCCGATGTCTCAAAGGGCTTCTTGATCGATGGCTACCCTCGGGAAGTGAAGCAAGGCGAAGAATTTGAGAAGCGGGTACGCGATTTATGGGGTACAGGGATTAGGGTCAGACCACTTGGACCACTGTTCCCTTTGTTTTTTAAAATGATCCCACAGCATGATTCAAGTTAGAACAGGGACGTTCTCCCTGGGGTTCTGGCCAATATTTATCCCTTTATCAAAATCACTGAAATAGATAGATTATTTGGCCATTTGATCCAGATTTTGCAGTCGGTGAAGAAGTAACTGCACTCACCACTGTCCACATAGAAGCTGCCTGAAAAGCTCTAGAGACCTTTAAGATTTCTCCTTACCCCACATTAATCTGATGGAGGGATTTTGTCATTGAACCAATCACATTCAAGTATTCTCATAGACAGCAACCCAGGATATAAAATGCACTGATTATCTTTCACTTTTTAATCTTTTTACAGAGAGTGAAGTATTTATTTTGGCCAAGACATAGAATGAAGGGTAGAGTCTGAAATATCATAACTTTCTAAAAATATATACCTTCGATTATACTGAAAACCCGCAGTGCAATCCTGTAAAAATGAAGAAATTTGACACTCCAAAAATACAGAAATGTTTTTTCAGGGCCAGCCCCCAGACTGGTCAGCAGCAATTATGATTAAGTATGATGTTAAAAGCTATATTATATCTTATTAAACAAAATGTAAATTTCTCAAAGGTTTTACAGCAAACCTAATCATCTTAAAAGTGGACGTTCATGGTAATTCAAGTGCTTTCATGAGATTTCTGTACGGAAAATGGGAAGTTGAACAACCCGCCCTTTGAAAAAGCAGGGAGTTACTCCTGAGCTTGCACATTTAGCTGTGCAGGTGTGAATTCCAGGCTTTGCTGTCAATACCCCAGTTGTGACTGTGATGGTTGCTGACAGTTTCACCATCATGAGAACTATAAACTCCAGGCCATTATCTCATTGCTGTTTGCAGGAGCTTCCTGTGATCAAATTGGATGCTGTGTTTCCTACAATTCAACAGTACCCATGTCTCAGAACTACTTAATTGACGGTACTTTCAGTAACTTCAGCTTATGAAAAGTGCTGCATAAATGCAAATAATTTTCTCCTCTTAGTTAGGCTTGAGGCTGTGTTGACAGTGTTTTGCAATGTCAGAGTAGATTAGTCATAAAAATTCAGTGCCCTCTCCCAGAGTTAATCTTTCTCTGTCATTGATATTGTCTGAGGTAAGGATCAGGCTCTACTGTGATGCCTGCCTTGTCTGAATAGTCTGATGACACTCAATGTCTGGGCTAAGAGTTAACAGCTTGCACAATGGAATCCCTGTGTGTCTTACTGTGTCCAAACGGGATTGGCAGGAAGGACTGAGACATTGGTACTGATGGAATTGTACAGGTTCCTGATTATCAACTAAAATCCCAATCTGTACTCCGGAGAAATCTGAGAGTTTTCTTTTATCCTTGAGAATCCATTGAGGATTGCAAATTCAGAAACATTGGGGAGGTGATTTGGAGTTTTGATGTCAGTGTAATATGCGCGGTGTTGACTTTGTTGCATGTTGTATTCCTGTCAATCAGTGACAAGGTCAAAACACAAGGTGACTTTGCTGAAAATCCCAATCCCACAGCCTAGAGACCAACTCCACGCTTGTTTGTGGAGCTATAAGAGGCACTGCACTAGCTGGGAAACCAAAATCTTTCAAACTTTCACAAAAGACATCCTTATCCAACTTTGCTGATATGGCAACTGGAGTCAGGGGGAGTCTTTTAGACTTGTCTGCAGCCTTTCCAAGTGAATTCCTTTTGCACTTATTCATCAAAATCGCAAAAAATTGTGAACGCTCAGGCCGTTTATGCGTTTGTCTGTCTACATGTATTTATCAGTAAAAAGTTCTTGATAAGGGTCAGTGGATTCGAAAGTGTGAGGGAGCTGACTTAAAATTTACAGAAAGTTTAACATAGATGCACTGCGCCTGGCTTAATCCTGCAAAGACAATGACCAAAGGTATGTCAACTCTTGTGAAATAAATTAACTACTCAGTCATAAACATTGCAAATCGCTTTGACTTTGGGAGCTAGCTGTCTGATATGACGGTCTATTAAACAGCTCTCCTGAAAAAGAATCATAAGGCAGAATTTAGTGTTTTTGGCTTTAAAAAAAACGTAAAATTGCTAGTCTTACCAGACCATACGGTTGCTCTCTCAGAGAGAGAGAGATGACTGGTGGCGGTTTAACCTGAGAGTCACCACATCTCAGGCGAGGGAAGAGGTTGAGAAGGAGAGTCCTCCGTAGTAACCTCAGACCAGTTGAAGGTTTAACTTGGATTATTTCCCCTCCTTTTCTCTTCCTGGCCGATCAAGCACATATGTCTAGAATGGTCAGTTATAATTTAAGATATAGCTGATCTTCTGAGAAGAAAGGACCCCTTCCTTCATATTTTTAAAGTGGAAAATGTGGATAGGCAAAACCTTTTAATAAAACATGCAGAACCTGGGTCAAGAAGATCACATTCTTCTTAGGATGTGAGTTCTTCTGTCATGAAAACTGTCAAGTTGTGTGCAGTGTTAGATAACACCGCTTGAAATAGGAGTTTCTATGCAAACTCGGTTGAGGTCAGATGCCTCAGAGCATGTGATTCTGTCCCTCTTGTATCTGTATGTGCGGCAAATCAACAGTGTGGATCCAGTAATGGCTTTGTGAATGCTGCCAACTCTGATATGATTGATCTGGGATTCCCGGGTCAAATATGCAGAGGCTGAGCTCCAATAATTCATTAGCTGCTGTCTCCTGTCCATTAATTTACTCTAAAAATCATTGCTTTGAAAGGGGTGCGATACTGTGCCAACATTCTGTGTAAAGCTTGCCTTCTATTTAAGCCAGACTGTGACTTTCATGGTGCAGCAGCAAAGAAAAGATTGCTGGAGGATGGATTTAGAATAAAGTCCATTGAAGAATGTGGACCTTTTTTTTCTACAGTGGAGTCCGTAATTGAAGAATGGCCAGCTATAGGTTATCTCAGGTGATTGCAATAACAAGTTCAGGCAGGTACCCATAAATAGGGTGTGGGAGACTTTGTACCCTTCTCCATGTGAGGCATAGCTCAAAATGATATGAGGGACACATGCAAACTCGTGCTATGTGGCTCATGTAGAAATCACTGCTTCTTTAAAGGAGAACGTAGCTCACTGAGGCAGAAGGAGTTGCTAAGAATTTGGATTAAGAGCTGAGCAGTAGTGATATAATATCAAGCTCATACAACTGAAAGGTGGTCTGCACTTCCCCCACGACCATCTTTGGATCCAAATTCTCTTCAGTCTTTAAAATGTCCTATATTTGTGTGTAGGGGCAGAGGTATAAAGTCAGTAGATGGTGTATGTGACAACCCTGCAGAGACTGATGGGAGTTATTGGCAACAGGATGGTGAACAGGGCAGAGACATTGGCAATTGGAGTTCACGGTGGTGGGGAGTAAAATGATAAATGGACTTTGGGAGATTAAAATGACAAGTCAGCATTCTTTAAATTACACAAATCGCGAATGTAGATAACTAGAAAGACTGCAATAGCCAGAGATAAAAAGATCCCAAAACTCAGCAGAAAAAAGACCCATTTTGTCAAAGCTTTTTGTCTTGTACTCATCAGGACAGTCCACAAAAAAGGTAGAGGGAGATTAACATCTATACTGTTTAAGAAGAGAGTGCTGATTGGTTAGCAAGTTGTAGACATCAAGGAAAATGCACCAGTTTGATGATGACTGACTGTTATTGCCAAGCTTTGTTTAAGTTTTATATCAGGAAGGTTGACTAGAATTGGTTAAGGCATTGCCCTGAGGGCTGCCAGCTATTTAGTTGAGTTGCTAAAGGCATAGTGTGTGTCTACATTCTTTCTGTCTGCTAGCATAGCGGCCCTGTATATTAATACATATAATTTCCTGTACTGTGAGCTCAACTGATAATCATAAACTGGTTGTCAGTGTAATTTTTTGGCAACTCAGGATTGCATAGCAAATATCATCCAATCATGAAATCACATCTAATGTTTGATATTGCGTTTTGAATTTTGCAAGGATGGACTGGTTGTGCACACTAACTTGCCTGTTGTGAACAGATGTTTGAAACAATGTATATGGGCATATGGCCTACAAATGTAGCATTACGCCAGCACTGAAAATTCATATGCTACATTGTGCATTGATGTGATTGACAGAATGGCTTTTTGACTTGATAGAAGCATCCTGTTACTGCAGTACCACTCATCTTGCTACCTGATCCTGCTTTGCAGACAGAAAGAACATGTACACACACTGCACATTTTTCAATGCAGGGCAATATCTTGACCAATCAGAGTCAACTTGCCTAGCTTAAAATTTAAACAAGATTTGGCAGTTAAGTCAGTCATCATTTACTTATGTATTTTCTATGAGAATGCCTGTACTAATCAGAGTTCACTTGGCAACCAATCAGATCTGTCCTCTAATAGAACAGACTGTTGTTTCCCCTATACATTTCTTGTGAGTGGCCCTGATGTGTGCAAGACAAAAAAACTTTGACAAAGTGTCTCTATTTTCAGCAATGCTGCAGTTCTGACGTACCAAATCCTTGAGCAGATTGACAAGGTGGTTTATCAAGCTCACAATCTGCTTGGGTTTTGAAATAGAGGAATGGAATATAAAGCAAAGAGATTGTGCTTGAACCTTGTAAATCACTGGTTAGGCCTAAACCTCTCTTTTAAGATGTTCCTGAAAACCGATCTTTTCAGCTAGCATCAATCCTAATAGCTTCCTGTAGGGCTTGTATCAAACTTTCTTTAGTAATGGCTCCTCTGAACCAAAAGATTTTTGACTACATTAGAAGAGCTGCGTAAATGTAACTTCTTGTTGGTTTAGTGAGGATTCTTGTGTTGCAAGAAGAAGTGATAATGTATGTTTTTGCCGACTGGGGATAAGCTACTCTTTACCATGGGTACAGTCCTCAGTGAGAATTAGGTAGAAGGACGGCAATTCTGGGTTTGAGGGTGGGGAAGGATGAAGTTGTTAATGCAGGAGGGAAAGTCCTGTTGGTTTGTACAGTGAAACTGAGTGGGTCCGATGCCTTGAAGTCGTGGGGGCTCTGTTTTGCTCAGTAGTGGGACTGCCCCGAATTTAGCTTGGGTGGGGGGGAAGGGAGGCGAAGCTTATGTATTAAATGGCAGGTGTAGTGTGTGTGTGTGTGTGTGGGTGTGGGGAGGGGGATGGGGGGTGTGGTGTGTGGTTTGGGGGGTTGAGCAGAGTGTGGTGCAGAATTGCTAAAGCTGGGTGAGGGCTGGTGAGTGACTCATTAAAATCCTTTATGTTGTCTTCACTAAAGTGGGAATGTCCTGTGCTCTAATTTTGAATGATCATATTCTCCCTAATGATGTGCTTATCTATTACACCAGAGTGTTAGTGAGGACACACTTTTCATTGTGTGACAATTGCCAGAGATTGAAGCAATTCTTAAGCAGGGAGTGTTTTGAAATCTGAGACACAAGCAAACTGAATGGATTGAATGTACTTCCTTGTACATTATTTAATTGTGTAACCTCCTGGTCAGGAATGTGTTGACAACAGAGCAGGACCTAGATTAATTTCTAACTTATTAGTGCTCATTTCTGTTTAATGTCTGACTGCTTTGTGTTGTCAGCTCCTACCTCATAAACCTAGGGTGACCAGCGGAAGCCATTCAGTAAATTTAGTGCTAGTAGGAACTGCAGATGCTGGAGAATCTGAGGTAACAAGGTGTAGAGCTGGATGAACACAGCAGGCCAAGGAGCATCAGAGGAGCAGGAG